GTTACTGCATTACCGGTGAGTTACATGTGTAGGGAGTCAGTTATTATTATTTGTTCTTTTTTATTTTTTCATTTTTTTCTGTATTTATTATCTTTTCTGTACTTCTTTTTTTCTATTTTTTCTTACCCCTTGATCAACTGCTATTGGTCAGTATATGTCTAATTATAGTATTATTAAAAAAACTTTTCACACAGGAGTGTGTTAGTATGTCTTTAAAGATTTATTTCATTTAATATCATGTCTCCTATTCAAGTTATATTTATGTTCTGTGATTTGCCTATACACAATATATTTTTCAATTGGGTTTACCTTTTTACTTTCTTTTCAAAGAAATTGGCCATTGGACCTATCCAGTCGGCTATCTGTACAACAATTACTGCTGCTAGATAGGTTAGTATGTAAATATGCACTTTAATAATTATTTTTTTCATATGTCCTCCTTATTGCCTTCTTCCATTAATATACTATTCATTAACTTCAGTATGCCTTATTACTAGAGCTCACTGACGTTAAGCTCATGTTGTTTGTTTTTTATATGCACACAATAAAGTTGCAATTGAATTTGATGACACATTTACGCATACGGGCGTCACAACCCGGAAGTGGAGGAGGACTAACTGGTGGATGTGGCGGGAATTTGCCGCTTAGAATTTTGTATATAAATTGTTTTTAATTTTGTCAACAGACTGCAGGGGCCTTTGAAGGGACGTGGATGTCCCGAGTGCGCAGCCCAAGCACTGTTCACTTTCTCCAGTTTGACGCACACGGACAATATTGTCGGTCGGAGCTGCAGCAGGAATTAGACGGGTCAAATAGCTAACCGGCTGGCAGACAGTTACCCTCTACAGTAACTACAAATCCTCCAGTCATCTCAACGATTACAGACAATAAGGACATTTCGATTGGTGAGATCCACCTATTTATCACTATAGTGCACTATATAATCTCTCTTTTGGACTATTGTACATAAGGACTCTTTTTCATCATTTTTTTCATTTTTTCACTTTTTGTCATTTTTTCTTATTTTTTTCTTTTTTCATTTTTTGGTTTTACTTTTTTCTTTTTTTCTATGTACATAGACATTAGCAAGTTCAACCACTATCCCTTTTGGATATTTTGCCTTCAGATAACTAGTGGGATCAAAACCATCTGTGTATATATGTCTATACTCTGAATTTATATAACATCCATGGAGGTTATTTTGTAAATAGCTATTGAACATATGATGAAATGTGTGTTATTCTATTTATTTATTATATTTTCTTATATATAGCTACCATTTATGAATTTGATAGTGAGTTGAGAGCACAATAAATTAAATACATTATCTTCATTAATTTTTTCTGATTATTTTTCTGATATTGAGTGCGGTATTCATATTAATTTTTTGTATGATTATTATGAGGCTTTATTAGGGTTAACCTCGAATACCTGCACCATTTATGTGATTGAGTGCCAGCACATGTTACATTTTAAAAAAAAACCAAACTAAATAGTTTCTAAATTTTGTCCTGAGTTTAGAAATACCCAATGTTACCGTTGTTCTTAGCTTTTTTTTTTTTTTTGCAGGTTATAGGGCTATAAGTACAAGTAGGACATTGATGTTTCAAAATATATATTTTTTAAATGTATTAATAGTGACATTATAACACTGTTATCTGTCATAAATCTCTGAATCACACCTCACATGTACTAATTTTTTTAAAGTAGACAACTTTAAAATATTGGTTATGTCCAGTCTTTTTTAGTAGCCACTTAGTCACAAACAATGGCCAAAGTTAGCATTTATACTTGTTTGTATGTTAAAAATTAAAAAAACAATTATGAACGCTAACTTTGGCCAAGGTTTGTGACTCAGTGGCTACTAAAAAAGACTGAAAATACCCCATTTGCAATACCTTGGGTTTCAAGTAGACATCATGAGGGTAATTCTCATTCCTTGCTACCATATGCTCTCAAAGGCAACATAACCAATCTGGCAAATTTCAATGTGAAACAAAACACTATAAAACCTGTACATAGGGGGTACTGTTATACTCGGGAGACTTTTCTGAACACAAATATTAGTTTTTTTGAAAACAGTAAAACGTATCACAACAAAAAAAATGCAGAAAAAGTCACGTTCACAGACAATATCATCGCTGTGATATGTTTTACTGTTTTGAAACACTAATATTTGTGTTCAGCAAAGTCTCCAGAGTAAAACAGTACCCCCATGTACAGGTTTTAAGGTGTCTTGGAAAGTTACAGGGTTAAATATAGTGCTAGCAAATTAAATTCTCTGGACTTTCAGCCTGGGTTTTACAGGCAGGTCTCCCAAATTGCAATCAATAAAATTACTTAATTATGAAAAAATATTACATAAATATGCACGTAGAATTTAAATATTATTTTCATTTATTTTTATATATATATATATATATATATATATATATATATATATATATATAATTTCATTCTAAGTTTATTTTGATACGGCAGCAATTGGGTAAGTTATTAGGAATACCTCGGACTTCCTGGTACTCAGCAGACAGTCAGAGCATTGGCAGCCTGCCTGATGGCTTCCGATGCTCTGCCTCACTGCCGGGAGCCACATGTGGCAACCCGGCGGGCCCGGCAGTCAGGGGAGGTCTTGCAGGATGCCTCGACATCGACATTGACGCATCACTGTAATACCGTTAGAGCGTCTGGAAGTGATCACGATCGGTTCCAGCACTCAAATTTGCCGCAGACATATCAGGTTCGTCCGAGGTCGTTAACAGACTTTTTTTGTCGGACGTACCTGATACGTCCGTGGTCACTAAGGGTTTATTTTGTTTAAGCAAAAAAGCTTTAAAAAAATTATTTACCAAATAAAGTTACAGATAAAAAACAGTGACAGTATAGTGTAGGGGGGTGACAGTACAGTGTGAGTGGGTGACTGTTTGTGGGGGTTGGGGGTGTTAATACCTTTTTTTCAAGTATTTAATTCCCTGGTATTCCAGCCAGTGTGGCATCCCTGGTGGTCCGTGGTATCATACAGTCAGTCTGCCCGGGAGGAGAACGCCTCAGGTCTGCAGCTCTCCAGTGTACAGAGCTGCAGACCGTGTGTCTCGCAAGCTCCGGTCAGAGCGTTGCCGTGGGTCAAATTGGTCAGAAATTGCACAACACATGGTCTGCAGCTCTGTACACTGCGGAGCTGCAGACCTGAGGCGCTCTCCTCCCAGGCAAGCTGCAGGGCCCCCTCCTAGTGTCATGGACCAAGGACCCGACATGTCAGTCTGCCCTAAAGCTATTTAGGTGGCCGCGAGGCCCCAGAAAGTGCAAGGTTTTAGGCGGCTGCCTAAATGGCCTAATTAAAGAGCCGCCTCTGCCAGTGGACGAGTCCGGGTCTGGACAGTATTGACAGCAGAGGCCACCATCCAAAGCACAAACCATACAGGTTGAATGGTTTTATGCTGTAATCCACAATCCCTATGGCAGCTTTAACATGCTAACCCCCGATTGAGAAGAATTGATCCCAGATCGAATCTTCTTATGCCAACAAACCAGTAGGATTTTCCATAAATCGTTTTGCACAAGCACAGTAAAATGGCATAGGCATTTATTCTGCATTTTATTATTATTATTTGCATTTATTTATGGCATTGTGCACAAAGATTCTTGTATTCATCACAAGTGACCAACAGGTGATGGAATGTTGCAGTATATAGAGGCAGAAGCTTCACCCATTGCCCCATTTTGCCAATAATTAAATCCTACATGAAACCATGTAGTCCTTAATTTTGTGTCATGTTTATCATATGATTGTGTAGGAAATTACTACTGAGTTGACATATCTTATGTAAAGCTCTAAAGTGAAAGTTCTGCTTTAATCATGTATATATTCTTCACTCACTGTTTAAAAGAACACTCGAAGAACCATAACTATCACAGCACACTGTGGTTGTTATATTTCCAGTAATGCCCTGGTGCCCAACATATTGTTATTGTTGTTATTATTATAAGACAAACTATTACAAACTTTGACAGTAACAATAGGTTGATGAGGACCCTGCTTTAGCGAGCTTACAACCTCGAGTAGTTGGGATATAAAAATACCATAGGAAAGGTAGCATGGGCATAGCAACCAGGTGACAAGGTGGGAAAGTTGAAAGGTTTGAATGTGAGAGTGAAGTGGAGCAAGAGAGATCGTGGAAGGAGAGGTATATCTGGCTGTCATCAGCATACAGGTGGTAGTGGAATCCAAGGGAATTAATAAATTTGTCAAGAGAGGCAGTATAGAGAGAAAACAGAAGAAGAGATAGGATAGAGCCTTCAGGACTCCAAACGAGACAGGATGGGGAGAGGAGATGTTACTAATAAAGGGGAGTCAATACATTTTTAATTGGTTTGACATCTTAACTGGGGTCCAACAGGCACCACTCCCTGCTTCCACTACTAATGCCAGAGACCTGGAAGTTCCTAGGTAGCAACGTTATTAATTCCCAAACTGAGCCTTGCTTCTCACAGTAAACTTAGTCATTCTCAGACCAACATCTTGGCTGAGAATCATGGATGTTAGTTACATAACATTTGGCTACATTTAAAGAATTTTGAAAAGGTCTGATACCCTGACCTCCTCTTTTTGTTTCTACCAGGTATCCATAAGTAACTTTTCTAGCTTTTCAATACTAATAACCGAATACAGATATAAAAGACTGCATTTGACTCTGACACATATGTTTAACTCAAATGAACAAATATTTCTAAAATGATGGTGCATTGCCAAAGTAACATTTTATAAATTCCATCATGACTGTTTTGCAAAAAATAAATATGCAAAAACCAGAAGCTAAAAAAATGCATTCTCACCTCATTTCCTTTTCCTCAGGCCAATATGCATCCCTCCCTCAAAAAAAATAAAGAATACTGTAACGGTGATCTATTCATTTTACAATTTAGACATGAATAACATTAGTAGTGAAGGAGCGCTCAGTTTCCCAAACATAGGAGGGGCATTACACCCCAGCCCTTGCTGACAGGGTCACAGTTCTCCAATAAGCACTGCCCCCCCTTCCCGCCCCCAGGCTGTCACCCTGCTCGGTGCCCCGACCGGGGTGACTCGGGCTCGGGATGCCAAGCTGTTTGCCCTCTCGGTACCGCTTCCTGGACCTGATCTTCGCACTAGGCGGTACCCTGACCTTCCTGGTGGACCTGGGCTTGGACGTGTGGGCGGCGGTGCAGTATTACAGAGCCGGGGATCTGGCCTGGGCCGCCCTGCTCCTCTCCTTCTACGGATTGTCCTCCGTGGCATTGCAGTTCCTCAGCTGGGGCTGGTTATGGGTAGACCGACAGGACCGCCTTAAAGGCAGGCAGGGCGGCCAGGAGGACAGGGGTGAGCATGGCGAGAATGGCACCCCGCATGGAAAGTGCTGCCTGGAACTGCAGCCCTACAACAGCCCCCCAGGAGAGGGGACAAAGGGGGCTGCCAGTAACAAGACCGGGGACTCCGGGGTAATTAACGGACTGAATGGGTGTCAAGCCCCAGCCCTGGTGGACAGTCCTGCTGCTGCTGGGGGTGACATGGATGATCACACTCCGGATACAGTGCCCACCCCAGGCAGAGGGCATGGTGCCATGCTGGATATCCCAGACAGTGAGTGTTCTGACAGAGGGCATGGTGCCATGCTGGATATCCCAGACAGTGAGTGTTCTGACAGAGGGCATGGTGCCATTCTGCCCACCCCAATTTGCCCAGCTGCACAGCCCTGGCTCCCTGGAGAAGCACATAGGGATGAAGGGCCTGGGCAGCAGGCGGTCACACAATGCCCTGAGGACCAGTCAACCTGGAGAGATATTTCTTGTAATGAAATCGGTCAAGGAAATGGCGAAATACAAGACTCCCGGCTCACCTGCCGCCTGGACAACTTTTATACTTCTCGACCCTTATACTGCCTTTCATTGGCTACTATCTTGCACATTCTTCAGCTAGGTTATCCTTTGAGGTATGTTTATATGAAGATTGTTTTGGAAGTAAAAAGTGTAATGCATGGATTCTGTGATAATAAATATTCACAGTATGAGTCTACATATTTTGAAGTGATATTATTATTTTTATTAGTAGTATTATTATGCATAGTCACCATTTATTTGTGTATTAAAGTATACTTTACACCAGGGCAAGCGTGCTGTAGTGTTTATGGTACTTGTATTGTTACTGTAAACCGGGCTTACCTAAACTCTGGCCCTCCATATTTTGCTGAACTACAACTCCCATGATTCTAAGACTATTTCATTCATAGAATCATGGGTAGTTCAGCAACATCCGGAGGGCCGGAGTTTGGGGAAGTCTGCTGTAAACCCTAGGTGTGAACCAAAAACAGGATCCCCATGCTGTGTTGGTCGGTTCCAGTATTCTGTTTATTAGAATCCTTATAACTTTCACAATAATTTGTTTACTATAGCAACGTAGCTTCTTCCCCTTCTTAAAGGGAAGAAGCTATTTATTATTTATCAAAGTATTTAGTTGTAAAAAAAAAAAGTGATGTAAAATACTAAAAGTGGGGCAATCATTTTGGAAACCAGGGCCACCCAAAAACACTTTCATAAATAATGATCATTTGCCTTTTGCCAAATGTATTGTATATGAAGAATGGGTCTCCACTACACTGCATAATTTGGGTCCTTGACAATAAACGGTTAATAAGCAATGCTTGGTACATTTTGTCAGGGATCAATGGCACAATATTGCTCTTGTTTAATATACATTACAAGTGACAAAATTCTGAACTTGAATCAGAAGCACACACAAAATAAAAGGCACAGAGGGGGGGAGGAATTATTTGGCACTTAAATATTACATAGGTGCAAAGTAAAAAATGGGTCACAAGAGAACCATTAAAGGTACAATATCAGCACTAAACCCACTAAAGCTTCATGTTTTGATCTCTGGTGCCAGGATGCAAACTGGCAGTTGTAAGCATTCTGAGAAATATTATTGCTGTTTCTGAGAAATGGAATGGCAATGTTTACATTTGTCAGTCTGGATTCCTCTAGTGCAGTGATGGCTAATCTTGACACCATAAATTGTTTCTGGACTACATTTCCCATGATGCTCAGCTAGCTTTTGGGGTCGAGGTTAGCCATCACTGCTCTAGTGGCTGTCAACCAGACACTCGCTAGAAGCACTTTCTTGTGAAGACCATAAAAAATGTACATACTTCACGTTTGCAGGGAAGTTTCCCTATAGAGAATCATTGTAATGCTTTTCTATGCGGGTAATCCTATTGATGCAGAACAGCTATTGTCATGCATCCGCAGTAGGACCATCGGTGCTTCTCTAGGGAGAAACATTTGATTGGCCAAGATAATCCATCCAGAAGCAGGAAATATATTGCAAAACCATGACGCTGCTGGATTAAATGTGCAGGCCCTGAACCTAAATGCTGTTAGGGGCACTCTCATGTTATAAATTAATATGTGTATTAATAAGTGTTCCTTTAAAAGCAATACTGATCCTATTCCTTCATATCTCATTCGCATTATGTCTCCCTCTCTTGCTCTTCCCCTAAAATTTTCAATCTATCACTTTCCTCGGGCACATTTCCCTCATGCTTCAAACATGCAACTGTAACCCCAATTCTGAAAAAGTCCAGCCTTGACCCCAACTCCCCATCCAACTACCGCCCTATCTCGCTACTGCCATTTGCCTCCAAAATCTTCAAGAGAGTTGTGTACACCAGACTGACTGACTTTCTCGAAACCAACTCTCTGCTTGACCCACTTCAGTCTGGATTCCGCGCTGGTCATTCTGTCGAAACGGCTGTGACCAAAGTATCCAACGATTTAATTGCTGCTAAATCTCGCAGCCATTACTTTATCCTAATTCTACTTGATCTTTCTGCTGCCTTTGACACTGTTGATCATCAACAGCTTCTTCGCATTCTACGTAATTTTGGTCTACTGGATACTGCTCTCTCCTGGTGCTCCTCCTACCTCTCCCAGTGCTCTTTCAGTGTTTCTTTCTCTGACTCAGCCTCTTCCCCCCAACCACTCTCTGTCGGCGTCCCCCAAGGTTCTGTCCTTGGTCCCCTACTGTTCTCTATCTACACTGCCTACCTTGGTAAACTCATCAGCTCGTTTGGCTTCCATTATCATTTCTATGTTGATGACACACAAATCTACCTGTCCTCTCCTGATCTCTCTCTGCCCAACTTGACTCGTGTCTCTGACTGCCTCTCTTCGATTTCCAAATGGATAGCTGCTCACTTCCTTAAACTCAACCTGTCCAAAACAGAACTTCTGGTTTTTCATCCCTCAAGTGTTACTACTCCCGTGTCTGTCTCCCTCCAAGTCAACGGCGCTACCATAACCTCTAGCTCTCAGGCTCGTTGCCTGGGTGTTCTTTTTGACTCCAACCTCTCCTTCACCACTATCCATTCAATCGCCAAATCCTGTTGCTTCCATCTCAAAAACATAGTGCGCATCCACCCCTATTTAAACTCGAATGCGGCTGAGGTGCTTGTCCATGCTCTTGTTCTCTCTCGCCTGGACTACTGCAGTACTCTTCTCAGTGGTCTTACGTGTTCCCAGATTGCACTGTTGCAATCTATAAAGAATGCAGCGGCAAGGCTCATTTTCCTGTCCGCTCGCACCACCCACGCCTCCCCGCTCTGTCAGTCCCTGCATGGGCTCCCAGTTAGATATAGGGCTCAATTTAAAATTCTGGTGCTTGCTTACAAGTCCCTACATAATGCTGCTCCAACCTACCTATCCTGCCTAATACACAAGTATGTCCCGTCGAGGCCCCTACACTCTGCCAAAGACCTACGTATATCCTCTGCCCGTACTCCCACCTCTTAAGCTCGCCTCCAAGACTTTTCCAGGGCTGCACCTCTTCTGTGGAACTCCCTTCCCTCCTCCATAAGAATTTCACCCAGTCTCCACTCATTCAAAAAATCATTGAAAACTCACTTCTTCAAGAAAGCATATCAATTAAACTGTTAGTGGGTTTTTATCCCCCACCCTCCATGACCCCTCTCATGCAACTGTCAAAAATTACCTACTAAGCCCTCAGCGAATACTTTTCTAACAACTTACTTCGTACCCCTACTTTTACCCTTTGTGACACTATACCCCACTCCCTCTAGAATGTAAGCTCATTGAGCAGGGCCCTCCACCTCTCTGTTCCTGTACGTCGAGTTGTCTGGTTACAATTAAATGTCTGTTAGTCCACCCTTTGTACAGCGGTACGGCATCTGATGGCGCTATATAAATATAATAATAATAATATACATAACCCTCAGAGAAAGTAGAGAGAGAGGATTTACAAAATATGAAATTAGCAACTGACAATATGGAATATTGCATTTTGCTGAAATTTAACAATAAGTTGGAACTTTCTGAACAAAAAATATTAATTAAAATTAATTGCACTGAGGGGGTGAGGCCTGACTGTCATGGTGGAGAGACGCACTGTGAGCGAGCTCCACCAATTTCTTAATGGAAATCACGTTTATAGCCCTCATTGGGTCCAGCAAAGATATCCTAAATGCAGCCTTGAATCATTCAACTCATGAGGCACACCGTGCAATGCTTTCTTTTGCACCAAGAGCTTTGTTACCCCACTGTGACAGATGCGGCCTAGTGCGTGCCTGTGCGTCTCCGGATCTCTGGCTCCGGAGATGCACAGAAGCGACTTCCTCTGAAAGAGAGCTCCGTAACCCCCCTCCCCCCTTTGGATCAGTGGGGGAGATCCTAGTCCACACTCTGGAGGCCACTGGGACCTGGCACAACAGAATGCATAGTAACTGGAGAACCGCGCCATGGGCCATCCAAAATGGCGGAGACCACGCATCCCCGTCATTCCAGCTCCGCACAATTTACCCTCAAAGCCAAGCTTAATGCCATATACTTCTGGAGGAGGTTGGAGCAACGGGCCAGTGAGTGTCAGCAACAAAGTGTAAATCAACATCAGTCCACTCGGAGACTCCCGCAACGGTATACAGCTCCAGTCCAGGAAACACTCCATCAGAAACGCTCAGATAACTGCACTAAACATGAAGCTGGATAACACTTACCTGCAAGGACAGCTCCTACGGTCGATCATCGTGGTGCTATCCCGAAAACCAGTCTACGAAAGAGGCCTTTGAGGTTGCAGCTGGGACCACCTTGAAGCCCCACTTTGCCACATATTCTGTCTCTATCTTGGCCTTCGTATCCGATGACTGCCCTGCTGCACCAACACTCAGTATTGCCACTAAGATGCATTGGCTGAATAGGGTCCTGGAACTTCTGCTGGCTGAGTTTTACATACTGCCTGATTCTTGTCCCTTTACAACTACTATCTGTTGCACTCTCTATGCTTACACTCAGTTTTTCGAGCTACCATTGTTCGATTGATTTACCTATGACTTAACAGATGAATATTATTCCGGGGGTCTCTGGGGTCTAATAACCTTTATAATGTGTCTTTGTTACGCTATTTACTTTTTGCCTATATAGGGCACTTTGAATATACATGTTTAGTTTAGATTGCCTACTAGTTCCTACTATTTAAATATAGGTGCAGTGTATTTGACATCTCATATGTATTAACCATGTACTATCGTATATTCCTTTATTGAAATGTCTACACAAAGCGTTTAATTTTTACTTCGCACTGAAAAAAATAAAGAATGTAAAAAAAAAATAAAAAATGAATTGCACTGAGCTGGTTGCAATAGCCCAGAATAGAAACACAAGTCCACCTTCTCCTCCACCCTAAAGAATGGCAACTCTTTCTTTGGTCCATTATCGCTGATTATGGTTGCCACCTGGCTGGTATTTTAGGAAATTTAGCCAGCGCCGGTATTGCAAAGTCTAGTATTTTTCTCAAAAAGAAAAAAAAAACAAATATGGCAGCACTTCGGGAATCTACCACATCACATAAATACATTTACAAAGTAAACCTTCAATATAAATGTCTCTCCAAGGAAATAATATAACATTAAAATCTTTCTGCATTTGTATCCATTTTTTGTATCACTCAGCCTTGTTACAATGCAGCCACCCATCCCATGTGTTCCCTATTAATGGTTAATAATATATAGGGGTGTATATAAAAAATACCCCTCTCTGTCTCATTAGAGATATCTTTTCCAGAAGCTCAAGGAAGCAAAGTGAAGGGTCAGAGTAGGACCCGTCTAGGGGGGTCTGCCTTGACGTTGGCAGGCAGGCATTCCCTCCAGTGGCCATTGGAGTAACTAAATGACCTCTGTAGCTGCAATATTAAATTCCATGATCTCCGCTGGTACAGAAGGTAATCCACAGTCAAGCGCTGAAAAGTAAGACAATATCGCAAATCCCCCAGTAACCGGAAGAAACACAGTTCTGGGAGTCAACTCCAATTTTTATTCAGAGGTCAGAGTATTTATGCAAGTCCCCATGCAAGGGGTTTCCCTACTGACAAAGCAGGGGTAATACAGTAGGGGACTACATGGGGGACACATTCTGGACATTTCTCCCATCAGGCACTGCTAGATGAGAGGGATACTCCCACTGGAATATACCGTTAAGTGGATTATCCCTCTGTGCAGCAGAACCGGCATTTTACATTAAAATACATAACTTTGACAATATTCAGGTTATTTAGACGATAGCTGGGGTCTGAGTGCACCTTTCGTGAGAATACCGCTCAGACCCCAGCTTAAACAACCGAACGCTGCACGAAATACACTTTAACATTGGGTTCGCCTAAAAGTACCGAACACTGATGGAGAACCACAATAGCGAAAGACCGGAGCTCCCGAATGGCCTGGAAGTCCATCGGTGTTCGCGCCGTCGAGTAGCCGATTTCGGTTCCAAGCGCTCGACGACCAAATACCACTGGTGAAACAAAGGATCCAAGATGGCCGACCGCCGCGTGGTCGGTAGCCGAACGACGGCCACCTAGGAAAGTCTTTAACTACCGATTGCGACAATGTTGCAATCGGTTAATGAGTGCCACACGTCTCTCTATGTGTGGGCTACTGGGGGGTAGCTCATTGTTTCACGAACAGCCAGTAAAGTCGCTGTTCGTGAAACGAAATACATTAACGCTAGCATACGAATTCTATACACATAGCACTACAAACCAATGTTACAATACATAATTTAGCGGTTATGGCAGACAACCTTTTGGTACATATAGTTCAGCGTCCCACAAGTGGCTAGGTTTGCCACAACCTCCATTTGTTTAAATATACATAGGGATTAAGGAGAGAGCGCAGGTAACTGTTTTCTTTGGTTTTTACTAATAGTACCAAGTACCACTGGAAGACCTCTTGGCAGAGAAGGATACACAGTCATAAACCATACATTAAGTTCTTCTTCCCCTTTACCTTGTAATTATAAGTGATCTTGGAAGGTTCTTATAAGCTTACATTGTCAATCAAAAAACTCAAGGATTTATCAAAGGGTTTTGTTTTAAAATGTGGTGTAAAAATGTAAAAGGTGAGTTCCTAGGAGAATGTACCACTGTTTCCATGGTAATTGCCACACTTTTAGTATTTCAGACCACATTTTGGAACAGAACACATTGACTACTCTTCCCATTGTGCTTCAGGATAGATATATATATATATATATATATATATATATATATATATATATATATATATAAATTAAAGCCCGTAATATTGGAACTGTTATCTTTTTATAAATATAAATATTCTGATTAGCCTATTTAGTTACACAGACATGGAAGTGCCTTGGTATGTAGACACTCAACGTGATTACTGGCAGACGCTCAGCTCCTATATACAGTGTAATTGAACGCCTGCCAATACATTGCTCTTATCTTAAGAGGACAGTGATCATGTGTCATATATTTCAAGCTCCGTCACCTGTAGTCACACAGCAAAATGTTTACTAGGGCAGATGGCCAAATCACTCAGTGTATACAGAACTGCAGCACCCCAAGCAAAGTGAAGATATATGTTATTGACACCAATGCAGGGCCTCCACCATTGGGGTGAGGGGGAGGGTGTCTGCTCTACAAAACCAGTGTCCAGAAACTCTTCGACATGCACACATATATATATATATATATGCTCCCAAACACACAAGTACTTACATATACATGCTGAAACACATACACAGCCTCCAGACATACACACCAACACACATATTTCCAGACACATGGAACTTTGATGAAGCTTTATGCCTGGTAGTGTGTATCTTTGTGTGTGGAGGTCTGTTATGCATCTGTATATCTGGCAGTGTATATTTGTGTGTGTCTGTTACGTGGTGTGTGTATCTTGCTTTTTGTATTTGCTTGTCTGTATCTGGTAGTGTGTAGCTATTTGTCAGTGTGTTGTATCTTTGTGACTGTGAATATGAATTAGTGTGTTTGCATGTAAACCAGTATCTGAAATATGGTGTTAAAGAGGAGCCTGTCCACTGGTTCTCTATATGTCCCATAAGGGACTCCTACCTCTGATGCTCACCTTAAAGACTTCTCTAGGGCTGCACCATTCCTATGGAACGCCCTTCCCCTCTCTGTTAGACTTTCACCCAGTCTCCACTCCTTCAAAAAAAATCTTTGAAAACTTACTTCTTTAGGAAAGCATATCAATTAAACTGTGAACAGCTTTCTCTCCCCGCACCCTGATTCCTCTCCTGCAACTGTAATCAAAACAACACCTAGCCCTCAGTGAACACTAACAACCTACTTTTCTACCCTACCCTGACCTTGTGTTACGATACCCCACTCCCTCTAGCATATAAGCTCATTGAGCAGGGCCCTCATTTCCTCTGTTCCTGTTTGTCCAACTCATCTGGTTACAAATGCTTCTCTGATAGTCCACCCATTGTACTGCACTGCAGAACTTGTTGGCGCCTTATAAATATTATTAATAATAATAATAATAATAAGGGGTGAAGTTATTGTAGACATACAAATGGAAGTTTCAGTGTCACAGAAATGTTACATGTTTTCCAAAATTGACACATTTTAAAAAGCAATATCACAGACTGTATGACAGACTGTAAGTAGAAGGCCTTTCATATTTTAAGCTTTAGTCAACACTCTACATGCAAATGAGTTTCCTAGCTGTCATTTCCAAATCACACAACACAATCTGTACTTCTGAATCCATAGAAAAAACTTTAGAAGTTGTAATACTAAAGAGTAATTCCCACCACTGAGGTCATCCATGCAATAAATCTCTACGCAACATATAATATGCTATCAATTAAAGTCCAGAGGCCACTGATTAGAGTTTTTAGGTGGGGCAGTTTTCCCAGTTACTTTTGATTTCCATGTCCTAAACTTTGTAATGTATTAAAGATCATGTTGAAGCTGTGTGCAAAAGTGTAGCTCTTCGCCTCAAGCCCCTTCTACCCGAACTGATCCACTTGGAGCAAGCAGAGCTCATTCCCCATAGAGACAACTGTACCTAACTTTATTATCATCACACATATCACTTCTTTTACTAAAACACGCACTATTCCATTCTTCATTGATGCTGAAAAGGCGTTTGAAAGAGTGTACTGGACCTATCTATTTTTTGTGTTGGAGGTGTTGGTGTTTGGGATGAGGTAGTTGGTTACTGTCCGTGTGAATGATCAGTACTCCCCTGATTTCCCTATTAACAATGCGATTAGGCAGGGGTGCTCCATATCCACCTCATTTTTGTCCTTACAATAGATCCTTTTCTTCATGTAATTCACGGCAATCCAAACAGCTATGGCTATTCATTTGTTTATGACTAAACAAAAGTTTGTTAATGATATTTCACCTCACATCCCTTTAAATCCCAACTCTATGCTCTCTCTGAACTTGATCACTTTAGGACTTTAACCCCTCAAGGACATGTGACATGTCATGATTCCCTTTTATTCCAGAAGTTTGGTCCTTAAGGGGTTAAGTGAATTTAAATAAAAGTGAAATAGTCAATATCTATGGAAGCTCCCAGTCTTGTGGGAACTTCCATAGAGACCTCAATGTTTTAATATTGTGCATGCATTGATGTGGGCTCCTGGCAGACAGCAGGAGCCATGTCAGCACTGAGTGATTCACACTGTATAACAATTCCTGCATTTCTACTATCAAACATTGGAAGATGAATACTTTGCAGAAAACCCTGTAAACTCCACGTTTCTACACTAAACAGCCCATTTTCCATAACCATAAATGTAACCCCTCCCGAAACCTAAACAAATTCTTTCTTTAAACCAAAACATGCACATTTTTTCTTTAGTCCAATATTTAAGCATTCCAGACCTTAACCTGAAACAAAATAATTTACCTTAACCCTACATCTAACTCTTTTTACTAACTAAACACTCATGTACCCCAATACTATATTTAACTAATTATACCACAACAATAAGCTTTGTATAGCAATAGTTATAGTGATGGTAATAGTTATAGGTAATCTAACCCTAACATTAACCAGTATATAGCCTCCCCCTGTCCCCTTTTACATGTTAATTTTGGATATGTTTTGTAGATTATTTTTTAATCACTTAAAAAATACATTACAGGAACACTATAGGGTCAGGAACACAAACATGTATTTCTGACCCTAGAGGGTTAAAAACACCATCTAGCCCTCCTGTCCCCTCTGTTGCCCCGCTAAATATAGTAAAATCTTACGTTGATTTCAGTCTGCTCCTGCTGGCTCTGCCTGCTTTGCTGACATCATTCAAAAGTGTTGAACTGAGCCAATCACAATGCTTTTCCATAGGAAAGCATTTGATTGACTGTGACTGTCAAGGAGGCAGATCGGGGCAGAGCCAGCACACGCCAAACACAGACCTGGCCAATCAGCATCTCCTCATATAGATACATTGAATCAATGCATCTCTATAAGGAAAGTTCAGTGTCTCCATGCAGGAAGCACCTCTAGAAGCTATCTGAGGAGTGGCCATGTGGAGGTATCCCTAGGCTGTAATGTAAACACTGCCTTTTCTCTGAAAATATACTGTTTCCTGCAAAAAGCCTGCAGAGATTGATATATACTCCCCTGAACAAATACAATAAGCTGTAGTTGTCCTTGTAGCTTTAGTGTCCCTTTATACTTTATCTGGCTATTTTGTGCAGGGGGGGAGCAGGGGATGTCTTCGCACAGAATTCTATTCTCAATACATTATTTATTAACCCCTTAAGACCGGAGGGCATACTATTACGCCCTATTATAGGCGGCTCTAAACACCGCCGGGCGTAATAGTACGCCCTCCGGTCTTTCTTTACTTACCCGGTGGCCGGCGATCCCACGCCGGCGATCGCGGCTGGGGGGACTCCCAGGGAGCCCCCGCAGCACGTCCGACCCCCTGGCAGCCCCCCCGGCCATGTGAGAGTGAGGTCCTTGCGAGGACCTCACAATCACATGGCCGGGATAGCTGCCTCCTGCATTGCCAGCAGGGGGGCTGCCTGTAATGACAGGTAGTCCCCCTGCTGGCTGGAAATAAAATAAATACAATTTAAAAAAGTTAAAAAGTGTAATAAATAAATAAATATATACTTAGATCATATATATATATTATATGATCTAAGTACATATATACACATATACATACAAACACATACACTGTCTAGGTGTATTTTACTATTAATACAGGGAGTGCAGAATTATTAGGCAAATGAGTATTTTGACCACATCATCCTCTTTATGCATGTTGTCTTACTCCAAGCTGTATAGGCTCGAAAGCCTACTACCAATTAAGCATATTAGGTGATGTGCATCTCTGTAATGAGAAGGGGTGTGGTCTAATGACATCAACACCCTATATCAGGTGTGCATAATTATTAGGCAACTTCCTTTCCTTTGGCAAAATGGGTCAAAAGAAGGACTTGACAGGCTCAGAAAAGTCAAAAATAGTGAGATATCTTGCAGAGGGATGCAGCACTCTTAAAATTGCAAAGCTTCTGAAGCGTGATCATCGAACAATCAAGCGTTTCATTCAAAATAGTCAACAGGGTCGCAAGAAGCGTGTGGAAAAACCAAGGCGCAAAATAACTGCCCATGAACTGAGAAAAGTCAAGCGTGCAGCTGCCACGATGCCACTTGCCACCAGTTTGGCCATATTTCAGAGCTGCAACATCACTGGAGTGCCCAAAAGCACAAGGTGTGCAATACTCAGAGACATGGCCAAGGTAAGAAAGGCTGAAAGACGACCACCACTGAACAAGACACACAAGCTGAAACGTCAAGACTGGGCCAAGAAATATCTCAAGACTGATTTTTCTAAGGTTTTATGGACTGATGAAATGAGAGTGAGTCTTGATGGGCCAGATGGATGGGCCCGTGGCTGGATTGGTAAAGGGCAGAGAGCTCCAGTCCGACTCAGACGCCAGCAAGGTGGAGGTGGAGTACTGGTTTGGGCTGGTATCATCAAAGATGAGCTTGTGGGGCCTTTTCGGGTTGAGGATGGAGTCAAGCTCAACTCCCAGTCCTACTGCCAGTTCCTGGAAGACACCTTCTTCAAGCAGTGGTACAGGAAGAAGTCTGCATCCTTCAAGAAAAACATGATTTTCATGCAGGACAATGCTCCATCACACGCGTCCAAGTACTCCACAGCGTGGCTGGCAAGAAAGGGTATAAAAGAAGAAAATCTAATGACATGGCCTCCTTGTTCACCTGATCTGAACCCCATTGAGAACCTGTGGTCCATCATCAAATGTGAGATTTACAAGGAGGGAAAACAGTACACCTCTCTGAACAGTGTCTGGGAGGCTGTGGTTGCTGCTGCACGCAATGTTGATGGTGAACAGATCAAAACACTGACAGAATCCATGGATGGCAGGCTTTTGAGTGTCCTTGCAAAGAAAGGTGGCTATATTGGTCACTGATTTGTTTTTGTTTTGTTTTTGAATGTCAGAAATGTATATTTGTGAATGTTGAGATGTTATATTGGTTTCACTGGTAATAATAAATAATTGAAATGGGTATATATTTGTTTTTTGTTAAGTTGCCTAATAATTATGCACAGTAATAGTCACCTGCACACACAGATATCCCCCTAACATAGCTATAACTAAAAACAAACTAAAAACTACTTCCAAAAATATTCAGCTTTGATATTAATGAGTTTTTTGGGTTCATTGTGAACATGGTTGTTGTTCAATAATAAAATTAATCCTCAAAAATATAACTCGCCTAATAATTCTGCACTCCCTGTATATATATATATATATATATATATATATATATATATATATATTACTATCAAATTACACGTAGACTGATATTGTTTAAATATATATATAATTATTGTTAAATATATTTATATATAATATAAAAAAATTCAATATGTAAATACGTTACAAAATAAAATTAAAAAAATAATTAAAAAATATATAGATGTGTGTTATTTCGTTCTAACTGTATTGTGATATTAATATATATATATATTTATATCAAAATACATGTAGAACAAAATAATATATATATCTATATACATAAATATATACGTATATATCACTATATATATATATATATATATATATACCTATATATATTTATGTAATTTTTTTACATAATTAGGTATCTTAATTAATTACAATTAGCGGGACCTGCCTGACAACCTATGCCAAAAGTAAAGGGAATTTGATTTGCTAGCACTATATTTAACCCTATAACTTTCCAAGACACCATAAAACCTGTACATGGGGGCTACTGTTCTACTCGGGAGACTTCGCTGAACACAAATATTAGTGTTTCAAAACAGTAAAATGTATTACAACTATGATATCGCCAGTAAAAGTGAAGTTTTTTGCATTTTTCACGCACAAACAGCACTTACACGGATGATATTATTGCTGCGATACTTTTTACTGTTTTGAAACACAAATATTTGTGTTCAGCGAAGTCTCCCGAGTACAACAGTACCCCTCATGTACAGGTTTTATGGTGTTTTCAAAAGTTACAGCGTCAAATATAAGGCTTGCGTTTCATTTTTTCACATTAAAATTCGCCAGATTGGTTACGTTGCCTTTGAGACCCTATGGTAGCCCAAGAATGAAAATTACCCCTATGATGGCATACCATTTGCAATAGTAGACAACCCAAGGTATTGCAAACGGGGTATGTCCAGTCTTTTTTAGTAGCCACTTAGTCACAAACACTGGCCAAAATTGGCGTTTTTTTTCATTTTTCACACACAAACAAATACTAACACTAACTTTGGCCAGTGTTTGTGACCAAATGGCTACTAGAAAAGACTGGACATACCCCATTTGCAATACCTTGGGTTGTTTACTATTGCAAATGATATGCCATTATGGGTGTAAATTTCTTTCCTGGGCTACTATAAAGTCCCAAAGGCAACGTAACCAATCTGGCGAATTTCAATTTCAAATGTAACGGGCTATATTTGACCCTGTAACTTCCCAAAACGCCATAAAACCTGTACATAGGGGGTACTGTTTTACACGTGAGACTTTGCTGAATACAAATATGTGTATTGTATTGCAGTAAAAGCAAACAGTATTATGACATTGACCGTTAAAATGTCATGTAGAACTAAAAATCTTTTAAAAAATCTTATTTTCTCCCATTTTTATTCATATTAAAATTATGTTTCATAGCTAAATATTTGATATTAAATGAAAGCACTGTTTCCCCTGAATAAAATGATATATAATAAGGGTGGGTGTATTTAATATGAAAGAGGTGAATTACAGTTGGACAGACATGTAGCGCATTTTGTTTCGTTCACAATGTGTACATTTGGCACCGTCCTTAAAGGGTTAAAGGAAGACTCCCACTGTAGTGTTAATGGACTACTGATGCCAGATAGTTGGAAACTTAGCTCTGTTACTGAGAGTGATTAACTAGCCACCATAGAAATAAAGCTCAATGTAATCTGCTGCACCTATGAGTGTGTTGCAAAAGTACCATAGCACAAAATATGCCAGTAATTTATATAAATGGTGTTAAGTATGTTTGTTTAATTACTTTGTGTAAATAAAAATGTTCCTCTTGTAAATATTATTTCAATCTGTCAAGCCATAGGGCACCCCAGGCAAGTAAAATTGAGAGGGAGGTTGCAATTATTTATATGAGTGGAGATTATGCTTCCTACAATTAGGAGCTGCTGCCACATTTTATGTGATTTGGCATTTCCTGGCATCTAAAAGGAGTATGAGTTTGTGCATATGTTAGAAAGAAAGCTAGTGACCACACATAAGATGTAAGATATAAATAACACTAATAGTTTTTAGGATTAAAGTAATTAAAATTCTTTATTTCTCCATCTCCCCAGGTGTATACATTCATTAGAGGTGGGAGTGGCAGCGTATAGAAGTAAAGTTGGGAGTACTTTGTCGAAGCAGTATCAGGAGGATGCCTACCTAGTCACCCATGATATCAGCATGATGCGGCTAATAGAGACTTTCCTGGAGAACACTCCTCAACTCATCCTGCTCTTATATATTCTGTTACAGAGAAGGATAATACAAACCTTTCAGTGTGAGTATGTAACTTATACGCTTGACAAGAAATTTGGGACTGTCTTTTAGTGTTTAATAAATATAAAATATTTATATGTTTATTTTCCACATCACCATTTTTTGTTGGTATTTTTAAAATAATGAAAAACACAAATATTGCCAAAGCCAATTCAATCCAGTTGCAGTTTCAGCAGTATTGACGCAGTGTAATTTTTACTAGCTTGCAGTCACGTCATTCTGGATCCAACCCCTAGATGTCCTAGGACATCTGGGGGAATGTCGAGACTGAGTTTTAATAACTCAGCACGAAACCTATGGGGTGCTACTAGCTGTCTTTTAGTGACTTGGGTGGCCCCATGTCCCACCCCTCCTGTCACTCGATACAATAATCTCTTATACCACTCAAACCTTTCGTGAGTGCTGTCACCCCGGGGAACCTCTACTGCCTTTCTATACCCTTCAAGTGTGGGGTCTGTTTTCTGTTCCTATTCAAAACCCTGTGGAGTATCCCAGAAAGTGGTAGGGGGGTCGGGCAAAGGGGGTATTTCAACTCCTACCTGATTTTCCTACCTGAGTGCAGCGGTGCTTCCAGTCTGGCTTGTGCTCGGGTGGTAACCGGGTAGGCTTCTGCAGTAGGGTCCCGTGAGAGTTGAGAGGTTAAACATCCTACGTCATTCCCCAATAAGACCTCTGCCGGCAATTCCTGCATAATGCCAACCTCCAACTGTTTAGATCCAGAACCCCAGTCGACAAGGACACTGGCTGTAGGTAGCTTGTGTATGGCACCCCCAGCCGAGTTTGGGCCTTGACCGTGTGTGGTTGTACTACGGTTAGTGTGGCCCCAGAGTCTCTCATAGCTCAGGCCCCCACGCCATCTACTGTAATCCATTGACGGTGGTGGTCCCGGTTGTCGCCCCCAGCTTGCACTGGTTTGACCCCATGCAAAACACTCCACTGCTCTTCTTGGTTAGGGATGCTGATAGGACCTTCCTGTTGGACACAATGGACGGCTGCCGTGGGTTGTTGAGGGGGTTGCCTTTCCCAGCTTCCTCGGTTCAAACAAGGACACTGGTTCTTGTAATGTCCTGGTTGCTTGCAGTAATGACACACTGCAGGAGGTCGAAGTGTTGCTGCTGGGCCTTGTGGAGGTTTACTTATGGAGGCTCTAGGTGGTGCAGGCGTCGCTGGAAATGGGTAGGCGTGTTTAAAAGTTGGTCTGTTCACACCCTGTTCTCGCCTCTGGTTGTCTTGGTACTCATCCGCTAGGCTGGAGCTTCCTCCACAGTTTTGGGTTTTCTGTCCTTTACCCAGTCTTTTATATCTTCCGCTGTGTGGTTAAAAAATTGCTCCAATAGTATGAGCTGTAACCTCCAGCCTCCAACGCCCTGTATAGCCGGAAAGCCCATTCAGTGTGAGAATCTTTCCCTGTTTTCCGACATTCCCTAAACTTCTTCCTGTACGCCTCTGGGGTTACAGAGTACCTGGCCAACAAAATGTATTTTACCTTGCCATAATTGTGTATGTCCCCATCCGGTACTGCTCTCCACACTTCTGCTGCTCTTCCTGATAGCTTGCTGCTAAGTACTGCAGCCCATTTTGTGGAGTCTAATCCCTCCAGAGCACATTGACGTTCAAAGTCTTGTAAATAACTGTCAATTTCCATATCATTATCATTAAAAGTTTTAAACGCTGCATAGTTTACCTTCTTTGGTAGGTCATTTGTACTTCCTGGGGAGTGTAGCAAATCCCCCTGTAACGGTCTGTCTCGATCCTCTCGCTCTTTTTGCGCTTGCCTGGCTTGTGCCATGACCTGCAGAACTGCTTCTGTTGATGGACTGGGTCCCAATACAATGAGCATCCATCTGATATCCTTTTGCATCTTGGTTTCTTCCTCGTGCTCCATCTCTGTATTACTGGTTCCATTGCTCTGTATTAAATCCGCAATTAACGTGGCTTTTGTCTTGTTACTTGCCACTATGCCTCGAGCTTCCAGTAAATCTTTTAGCGTGGATCTTTTAAGTAGCTGGTATTGCTGAGCCATTCATTCCCTTGCTTGGTTCAGGACGTCCATTCGGGATTTGAATCCCTCCTCTTGCCACCAGTTGTAAGGAAACCTAGGATTTCCAATCCTCATTTGGTAGTTTCCTCCCGAACTGCCAGAGCACCAGTGATTATAGCTCTCTGTTCGGTAGATAAAATAGACAAAATCCATATGAATACAATAGCTTTACAAGATGATTCCCTTAATAAAGCATACGAATCCCCAAACATCAGCCGAAGTCTAGAAGAAGAGTGTTACAGAACTGGCTTTTAATGACCACACACTGGCTTTTATGCAAGTCCCCATGCAAGGGGACATCCCACAGGGAGGGACACAGTACAACCAATCATTTACAGGAAAAACGTAAAACACTCCCCACACAAACATACAATTCCCTCCCCTAGTCCTGGAGATAATCAAGTCTGATAAAGTAATAACTTGATTATCTCCAGGCAGAAAAATTAAAATTTTCCCCAATATTCAGAACACCCCTTTAGGCATATGGTATCCCCACAAACAATATGTCCCCTGATAGCCCCGATCTGGGTGACCAACATATTCAAATTTCACCCAGATCGGTTCAGGGGTTCTCAAAAAGTTTGGAAGTCTTTTGTGACCAGCTAACCGCGAGGTGGCTGCCCAAAATAGTTCCAGGAGTTTGGGTAGTTTTGCCGGTCTATTCCATTAAGTGGCAAAAAACAAATAATTCCCCGAATGGATTCCCCTGGCACTTAGCAGCGATTGTTCCTCTCATTCGAATGCACAAAAGTACCGAACAGCGCTCTTCTAGCTGTTCGGGAAATGAAGATTCAGCGTTTGCTTGTTGAGACCGGTGTTCGGGAAGTCGAGTGTCCGATTTTAGTTCCAGACACTCGACGACCAAGTCCAGCTGCCTTTGTTTGCATGAAAAAAGATGGCTGCCGTTTTCTCGGCCACGTGGCGTTCGGTAGTACGAACGCCGGCCGCACAGATAGAGGGTTCAATTGAGGTATTCTTTGAAGTTTAACGAGCCAGGGGGGTGGTCTCTGTTCGGTAGTTACATCTACTGAATGAATAGGGAAGAAATATTGCACATAAAAGAGGGATTTCTTCATATATATATATATATATATATATATATATATATATATATATATATATATATATATATATATATATATATATATATATACACACACACACACACTATCACATGCCTCATAATATATATTTTCATATCATATAGCATATCATATATTTGTTCTGGTTGGATCCATTTTATCCTTTAGGATTCTAATGTAAAATAGGTGCAAAATTATACAACCATTTGTTTTTCTTTCTTTTTCTTCTAGATTTTGGCATTTCTGTGTCGTTTATCTCAATTAGCTGGGCGATTTTAGACTACCACCAGTCATTGAGATTCTTTTTGAAAGATAAGCAGAAGTTGGACTTCCTCTCTTCACTTGTCTACTTCTTATGGAACATTCTTCTAATTTTTTCTCGTATTACATGCATCACACTCTTTACATCCGTCTTCCACTTATGGATTACACTGCACTATTTTCTCCTTTGGGCTGTTTTCTTTCTTTGGGCAGGACTGCAAAAGACAGACTTTATGAAGCACACACTCTTTGAATATTTCTACAGAGCTATTGTTGCAGGAGTCCTGTACTTTTCCTGGTTTAACATCTCTGAAGGAAAAACAATCTACAGATGCATTTTCTACTATGTATTCATCATGTCAGACAATATAATACTGCTCCTTTCGTGGAAATACTTAGGATACTCAACTGTTTTAGATGCATATGAACTCACTATTTTCTTGGTTGTTGGGCTAGCGTTATTTATAGGGCTTGCAGTGAGAGTGCTTTATTACGTATACTTGCATCCCAATGTTAGCACTGAGACCAAAGAGTGCTATGATGAACCAGATGGCAGAAGAAAAGGAGAAATAAGCAACAAGAGCCTGCTTGTATATCAAGTGCCTTTAGCCCCCAAACATCCCAGAATGCTACAGACGTGGAACAGCTGTTTTTGAAAACGGAACTAACCCATGGTTATACTTTGTGCCAAGGTGGCCATACATGGTAAAGATGTTATGTCTTTGTGCTGTGAATTCACTGAACTAAAGCTAAATAATAGAGTTTGGTTCATTAGTCATTTAATTTTAAGCCCCAGAAACTGTTTGGCTCTTACTAAAAGTGTCTTTTAGACAACAATCTTCTATTGGTTAACTGGTGAGACAACTCCAAGATGTCAACCATAAATATACATGTGGTGTTTAATATTTTCATAGGATAAGTGATAGACCTCATGATTAACAAATGTATTTATTTAAAAAGCTTAAGACTAACAGCGTAACTCTGCCAAGTACATATTAATCAGTGTACCAATTGTTCACTAGTTTTATTTCTCGCAAGACTGGCTGACAGCCTTCAGGCCGCCCAACCCAGAGCTGACCATGCAGAAAGAGCACCGTTGAGACACTCTCTGCATAGCCTTTGTGTCGTCAGCACAGCATGAGCATGCGTAATAATGTGTTGGCTGAGGTCAGTGTCCTAGATGCAGAACGCCAGCGAACAGAATCTGGATAGTGAGACAGGAAATCTGTGCTGTCCTGCCTAACTGGGACAATTGAAAGGCCTGTAGCTAGATTCAGCTTTTCCATTCTTCTGTCTTCTGGCTTCCTGTCTTTCCATTACTATACACAGTTTTGTGACTTAGTTACAGAAAGCAATGGAATTTTAATTTATATTATCTGCTGTGAAATAGTACTATTCTGTATACAAATATATATATATATATATATACATACACACACACACACTTACTTCTCTTTCTTATGACCAAATAATGAATAATCAGCAGACAAGGTTGGTTTAGCTAACCTATTAGTACATAATGTATCTTTTTAGTTTTATGCAAGAGCTGGGTTCACTAAAAGCAAATTGTAATGAATAAAAAGTCAACTTACAACATTTAAAGCTTAAATAGCCAAGCAGGTGCTGTAGCTGTGTTTTGCAATGCATAATTAGCACAGGTCCATTGCACCATGGCTCAAACATGTTATATCCTGTTAAACAGCCTGGATGCTATATTTAATGAGTCATTCTTTTAACAGCCTGTGCATATAATTCTCAATATTTAAAAATGAATGGTGAAGTTAACCAATGGCACTACCTAAACAATTTCTCACTTACTTGAGTTACTATGAGTTGTTTGAAATCATGCACAGACACAAAACACATGCTTACTAAAACACCCATAGAAGTCCATAAAATGACTAGAAACGGCTAAGATATTCCTAATTAAAAAAGACATCAGCAGAGTATGAACAGAAACGGGGTGTTTGCTACAGTCGAAGAGTATGTTTATATATTTTTGATCATATTATCTCTATAATATATAAAAAATATGGGGAGTAAGTTTGCCTTCTATTATATTTATTTAAATGGACAAATTCTGGCAACTTGGCAAGGTTCTTTACTAAAGTGTCAATTGTTGGGAATTTAAAGTGAATTTAAATTTTTTGGTCAAAATAGCCAATTTGAAAACAAAATGTCAACTCTAGTTTGAAGGCTTTGTCCCAAATTTTCAAATTCACTTTAGTAAAAAACCCTTTGAAAGTTGTGGTCTTCTAAATCTTCTGAATGTAGTATTTAATATTCCTATGGCATTCTATGCACTAGTAGAGGCTCACTTTCAGGCCTAGCTTTGACACTGGGTTTTGCCTTCAGAACAAACTGATTGCTACTAATAGACAATCTCAGCATACACAAAAGTGGATGTTTATTTACAAATCATGCCAATGATGCCAGTAAAACCAAAGCCCGGAGCCCATCTCTAGTTTTTGCTTCCGGTCTGTTTCTAACTCTTTAACATTTAAGAAAATATGTTACCAGAGCCACATGAAGACATCAAATAGCAATTACATTGAATTGGTGGATATTTCTCCTTATATCAAATTCTTATGTGTCTGTCACGGATTCCAGGATCTCTTAGTGTCCCTTGGTCGCCGCTTCTCTAATTCTCCGCTGGTCCTGGATTCAGCTACAGCATACAGTGATTCTAGCCCTCTGGAACTTTGTAAGTTTCCCCGATATCGTGGATGCAACCAGTCGTATTGCCCCCCTGACAGGCAGGAGAGAGAAGGCGCACACACAGTGCCTTCTCTCTCCTGCACACGTCAGATGTATCTTAATACGTCTGACGTGTACAAGGCCTTTTTAGGGCCCTACGTGATAGGAAGTCCCTCTGGTGGCCGTCTGAGTGACGGCCACTGGAGGTATTCCTATCAATCAATGTAAACACTGTATTTTCTCTGAAAACACAGTGTTTACATTAGATTGCCTGCAGGGAGCTATAGATCTCACCTGAACAAATAGATTAAGCTGCAGTTGTTCAGGTGACTATAGTGTCCCTTTAAGAGATAATTGAGCTCCACGTAAGCTAATCAAATTCTCTCAAATAGGAAAACATTCATACAATTTTTACACATCACGAAAATACATGACAACGGCATCGGAACCCCCACAAAAATTATATTCTTAAATAGCCCCAATCTGAGCACACAACATATCCAAAAAGCACCCAGGTCGGTTTGGTAAAACGAAAGTTATGTTAATGCATATATGAACTGGCTGCATTGACAATTTCAAAAGGGGTTAATTTGATTTCATGGGAGGTCAGAGCCTACAACCCAAATTCCTGTTTAAAGCTGGGACCCCAGCAGAGCCACTCTGCAAGGTGTGAGAAGTCACACATAAGTGGCCTGGAAGTCTGGCTTCAGCACAAACTAACTCTCTAATTTGCCATATGTCCCGATTTCCTCCCAGATAAAGAGTCTTTTGATATGAACAAGCCTTGTGTTCCAATATAGTATCCAAAAGAAACAATACCTATCCACAGATTTATCATATTTAGAATGAGACAAGCACAATCTTCCAATCAAGCCTTAACATGATTTGCGAACAAGTGGATCCCACAGAATCCATATATCCATTGAAAGTCTGTGACCAGGCCTATAGTCTGTGGGCATGAGGCTAGCTTTTATGCCTCTAAAGCAGGCTGTGGCACGGGAGCTTCCGTGACATTATCTTTTTACATATATAACGAATGTGTATCATGCCAGGATATGCTGCTTAATGTTGACAAATGAATGTATTTTATGTGTAGGTTAGATGACGCCAGAGCAGGGTTAGGCAACCTTTGGCAATCCAGATTTTTGTTTCTAAAAAAAACTGCAAGGTTTTACATTACAGCTTTAAAATGATAGCACCACTGCACCCAAACCACTTCATTGACAGAAAGTTGTCTGGGTGACTATAGTGGTCCCTTAAGGCTGGCATAAGTTTCACCAATCAACATGCTGCTAGAGGAAGATAGGCCTATTTACAGGCAACCACAGCCTCCAATGAGCCATAAGTCATCAAAATTCTGTTTTTTTGAATGTAAGTTTAATATGTGTAATGCTGTGTACATAGATTCCAATTGTTCATATTTTGGTATTTAACAATGAAACCCCCACCACAACCCTCTGTTCTATCACAGGTGATGGAGGTCTCTATCCTGTACAATCAATTATGGGGACTTAATAGACAAAAATTCATAGTTTTATGAATTCACTGCTAAAAATGCTTATATAGAATTATATTATATATAATATTGCTATTTCTACAGTATTGATCAAATTCTCACACAAACACAAAAAAGTTATTTTTGTAAAATATAAAAACTATATATGGTAATTTATATGTTATTTATGCACACCATACCTGCACACAATGGTGGCAAAATATATAAAGAAAAGATACACAAAGAACTCAAAGTCATAGTTTCCTTAGAGGACACCAGAAGGACTGACTCAGTCTGTACTCTGAGCACTCTGCCTGGCAATAATTGAAAGGCTAGAGTTGAAAGGCTATTGTCAATACTAGGGCATATTATATACAATATGTATCCTAAGATGTTATATAATCACTTGTTAGATATATAAATATATATATATATATATATATATATTTTTTTTTTTTATATAATGAGTGTTTATATAACATAGGATGTTATATAAACACTCGTTTTATAGAAAAAAATGTATCCTAGGATATTATATAAACACTTGTTAGATACATATACCAAAAAAGTTTTGATGGGGAAAAAAGTGTGGCTGAAAGCCCCTTCCACCTGAAGTAAGTGGATAGGTAATACATTGCTAAACACACACCAGTCAAGCCATAAGACTTGCTTTTCCCACAGAAATCTGACTTTAACAGTGCTCTCACTACTGCAAGGGATTCTGGGTAGGCATCTGCAAATGAGTATGTGTCTGCTGTATACAACTGCTTTGAAACACAACTCAGGAAGAGTTTCAAAGCTGTTGTATACAGCAGACACATACTCCAAGGAATCCATGTATAAAGTGGAATTATGAGGCAAAAAATGTGGTTCATTGTTGAGCTCATTTGCATATGCCTACCCAGAATCCCTTGCAGTAGTGAGAGCACTGATAAAGTGAGATTTCTGTGGGAAAAGCAAGTCTTATGGCTTGACTGATGTGTGTATTTGTGTTTAGCAATGCATTAACTATATATATAAATAGTGGGAACTCAGCAGATTCGTCACCCCTTACTTATCTGTTGAGAAAATATGTGTCCTAGGATGTATTTTAGGATGTTACATAAACTCTTGTTTATATAACATCCTAGGATACAAATTTTCTCAACAGATAAGTAAGGGGTGACGAATCTGATGAGTTCCCACTATTAACTTAAAATATTATATAGGACTTGACCCCTGCTGCTGGTCTAAAAAACAGAACTGAAAACAATTAAATTTTGCCCATTTATTTTTATCTATCTATCTGATATTTACTTTATTTATTTTGTATTTCCGAAAATGTATCTTTTATAATTCTTGACATAACTAATAGTTTATTAGGTGTTGGTATTATTAATATTTAGGGATTATTGTGTCTCAAGAAAAAAAACTAAAAACTTTTCACTTCCTTGTGCCTTTTGCAAATGCTTTTGTTTTTTTCAGCCACATGGGCTGAGATCACTGTTCTGTTACTCATTACTCTTTCAGCTGTCAGAACATATCCTCTGACACTAAACATGTGGAGTAAAAAAGAGAGCAGAAAGGTTAACAGAATTCAAGACAAAAAAAATAGATTTTCTCAAGCAAGGCAAGCGTTAAAGAAGGTAACAGATTTTAAAGGGGACATGTGGATAGCGCGTGCATGATTTGTACAAACTGAGCAGTAACAAACCCTAACATCATGTTCAAAATGTATCTATGTTGTATAGCTTTAGCTAAAATGTATTTTTATTATATTACTGCTATTAATAAAGTTACGTTTTACATTAGTAATTTGTTTACTGGCATGTTTCATTCTAAGTCATTCAAACAGTGTGTGTTTTTTCTTTTTTATATATATTTTTTTTTTTATACCAAGCTAACAGTTGCATTAACAATATCCAAAATAGAAGAGTGAGTTTGTGCAATATAATCTATTATGTTCAATGACTATATATAACATACACTGCCAATGAAACCAATGTAGAAACATACATTAATATACTTAAAGGAACACAAAAGGCAGCCAGACCAGACCACTTCAGCCCAGGAAAATCAGTGCTGGACCCAGGTAAGTGACAGGTGGGAGTGGGGGGAAGGGGGTCCTTATAGTTTGGATGGTGGGTCAGTTCTGCAAATATATAAGGGGGTTGGACATACTATTGCTCCCAGTGGCTAGAGGTACCTAATTCTCTAGCCACCTTCCCCTGACCTTCCTGAGTACCCAGTCACTTGTCTTTAGTGCCAGTACTGTTTTGTAGATGTGCTGTCACCCACTGCATGGCAGATGGGTGCAAAGAAAGGTTTTAAATGCTCCTTGTAATAATATGGAAGTCATATTGACCCCCATAGGTTTGTCTTCTTTAAATTTACACATATTTAAAAAACAATTCTTTATTTAAATGAAATGAGCGTGAAGATAAGCATTATATATTAGGTAAAAAGACCACTGTAGTATGCCAATAGAACGAGTTTGACAATAGAAATATTGTGCATCTTAACAATTTACAGTAAATACAATTCTTTGTGGATTGTGGAAAAGGTCTACGACCTTTTATCTATTCAACACCTATTGGTCATATATTCCCTCCATGAATCCCATACTTTGGAAAAGGAGGAGTAAGAATCCATCAATTTTAAATTTCAATTTTGGATATAAAAGGGTGCCTCTGTCTTCAGCCATCTAGCCGCTAAACCTCTCCCTAGCTGCCAGTTATCAGATTAAATTAGTTTTGACAACATAATATATACAATCTACAATAAAAATATAAAAAATAGTGTAATACAATTAAACACCATCTACTTAAAAGTGGACAATTGCACTCACAAAAGTAAGCTACTAGTGGTCAAAGCAAAACACTCGCTGCATCAGAAATCTTCAAACCCCCAATTTCTCAGCAACGTGTAAGAGAATGAAGTGACAAACATAGTGCAGACTTGTATGATATAAAACCATAAATTATAATAATATTGCACTCACAATTGTCAGAAAAGTAAAGGCACATCAAAAGCAAACTTGTGTAGAATCCATTGAAAAGAGCTTCACTTCCTTTGGATTCCAGTACGCCAGGTAATTCCCATAGAAAGTAAACAACTAAAATAGTTAAAATAAGTATCCCTATGTGTTTCGTCTGCCAATGTGCGGACAGCTGTGTCTGAATCAGTTAGTGGTGTATATTCTACTATTGCCCGCCTTTTAAAAATCCCTCTGGGGGGGCAGAGCTTGCTAATCAAGCTGACTAGGTGCCATTTCTCTCAACTCCTGAACTACCAAGCTAATCTTCATGATATCTAATTTTCTGGCACCCATCCAGCCTCACAAACTTCCTAATCAGCATCAGCTCAACAAGCTGCATCGGTAGATGCCTTTCTTTCAAGCCAAAAAGCTGCACAAACAGAAACGCAAATCCGGGGCATATCCCACTCCTGGGCCTCAAGGAAATTTTGAAATCCTGCACCGCCCGAATCAACAGCTCATATGCCAGCTATGGGGAGTCGATCCCAAAAACCTACGGCTGAAGGCCGAGACATCAGATCAATGCAGCGAAGGCCGGTACAGCACAAATCTGTACCCACGGAGGTCATGCAGGCCGCGCACCATGCTCCAGCCTTGGAACGACATGGACCGGAGTCACCTCTTACACTGCAGGATCCACAGCCTCAGCCACCTGAGCTTTCAGACGACTCAGCCCCTACAGCTAAACGAGATCTAAAAATCTTACTAGCAGACATCCATAAGCACCTAGCAGCTGACTCAGCCCTCCTCAAAACAGAGGTGCAAACTGTCACTGATCGAGTGAAAGCCACCAAAGAAGATGTGGTGGATGTACACACTCACCTCACCACACACAACGACACTGTCGGAATTTTGCATTCAGAATGGCCCAATACAGTGGTGGATGGTTTTACCCCATTTAATAAGGAGCCATTCAGAATTTAGTGAATTACCCTTTGAGAAAGTCAGATTGTTTGAATCTGTAACATTTCTAGATGTGGATGCTCTGGTTTGAGTCATACCAAAGGTAACACCTATTATGGTTCCTACCTTTCCACTTCAGCTATCAAATAAAGAGGCATGCTCTGGAATGCCAATACACTTGTTATCAAACCTGCCAACAAGGGGGGGTGGGGAGGGTATAGTCCTCCTAGAACAGTGATGGCGAACCTTTTTGAGCCCGAGTGCCCAAACCGTAATACATGCCAATTTTTCCCCCTCAAAGTGCCAAAACGGCATTTAAACCTGAATACTGAGGTTTAAGTTTAGAAAAAAACAACTCATACAGTTGTCCGAACTAATTAACATCTCTGTGTGTGTATTAAGCAGTTTGTGTGTGTGCTCGGCAGTCTGTCTGTATGTGTATTTAGCAGTCTGTCTGTGTACTTAGCAGTCTGTCTGTATTTAGCAGACTGCTGAGTACACAGTCTGCTGAATACACAGACAGACTGCTAAATACACACACACACACACAGACTGCTAAATACACACACACACACACACAGACTGCTAAATACACACACACACAGACAGACTGCTAAATACACACACACACAGACAGACTGCTGAGTGTACACACACAGACAGATACTGAGTGCATTGAGGGGTGGAGTGATGTGTGTGGGTGGGGTGTTTGTGTGTGGGGTGGTGTGTTTGTGTGTGGGGGGGGTGGTGTGTGTGTGTGTGTGTCTTTTTGTGGGGTGATATGTGTAGGGCAGGGGTGCTGTGTGTATGTCGTCCCCCCTCTCCCCCCCTGTTTTCTTTCCCCCCATCCCTCCCTCATTTTTTTCTCCCATCCCACACTCAGTTTTCTCCCCCCATCTCTCCCTCAGTCTCCTTCCCCTCCCATCTCTCCCTCAGTCTCCTTCCCCTCCCCCCCATCTCTCCCTCAGTCTCCTTCCCCTCCCCCATCTCTCCCTCAGTCTCCTTCCCCTCCCCCATCTCTCCCTCATTCTCCTTCTCCCTCCCCCATCTCTCCCTCAGTCT